AAGGCTGATTCTCAGCTTATCTTAGGGGAGCGATGGAATCCGGACGTACCGAAGAGAATGCCCGCTTACGGTCTCTCATGCGAGCAATATTATCCTCATCGCCATAGTAGACGTCGGGATCGGAGAATGGATCGAGAGACGTGTTGCGTCGATGCTGAGCACTTGGCGAGCTCATCGTCGGGAGATTGTGGGATGGTAGATAGAAGAGACGTTCGATGACAGGCCCAACAAACGAAGGGCTAGAGCGAAAACGGGGGATCCGAGCAGGGGTGGATGGATGGTTGGGTTAAGGGGTGACACTGCGACACCAATTATTGAAGACGCTAGGCCCGTTCGTGGCGCTGTACTCTTCTTGGACTCGAGACGGTACCCAAGAAAAAAAAAAGAGGTTATGCTCTTCGTACCTCAGACAATCTCGCTAAAGCTGGGTAGGATGGTAGGACAAACAGTAGGGTATTGGGTAAGTTAGAGGATTGAGAGACAATGCAAATACATGACAAAGGGAGTTTTTGGTGTAAGATGGATTGGCCACCAGCGGCGGTTCAGCTCCCGTGCGATTTGGGGGGGTACGTCACAACACCCGGTCTTCGGTTTGGCTGGTTCCTTTGAAGGTTTTTGTTTGTGTGCAATTCGGCGGTGTGTAACTCTCAATATATACTGGCTGAGATTGAAAACTTAAGAAAGAAAAAGAAAAGGAGAAGTAGTCTCAGACTGTTGAATTTGTACTCTTCGCTAACAGGGGGGATTTTTGATTATCTATTGTGATTATAATTGTTATTTCTTGCCCGGATTGAGCGGCAGCACCCAACAACATCCCATCGATGTAGAGAATGAAGTTCCCTTGGAGACTATGACGCCACGGGCCCGATGATGTCGCCGCTCCACTCAATAATTCCCCCCCTTCGGTATTTCCCTCGGCTGTCTCCGCCCTACTTGTGCTGCATTGAATGGACTCTGGAGATAAGTTGTTGGACAATTCAGGCCAAACAAGGAATAATGAGAAAATGTGAAGAAAAAGGAGTAATCCTGAAAAAAGAAAAAAGCAATTTACTGCCAGATAACGAGTGGTCACGAGGACCAAACCAATAAAGCAAAAATGAAGGAGGTCTGTGGGTCTCCGCGGCATCTGTTGGTCGAGCTCTTGACGTGGCACTCGATAGATATATCTCTAGTATGGAGCACGCAGCAACAATGAAAGTGGGATGATCTTTCAGTCTATGTACATTCTAGATCTTCTTCGGTGTGGGACAGCCTGTACACACCCAAGACTCATTAACCTTTCACCTCCCCCGGCAAAGCAAGAAAGCCTGAAGAGAGTCGCCCAAACCCAAAAGACAAAAGTTTTCCTGCTATCTCGTATGGGCTTTCTTCATCTTCATGTATCTGCTGTCCGTCGGATCCATACTGCGGATGCGTGGCAGGGAGATACTTGGTCGCGTTTCAACTTTATCATCCTCCACAAGGCGGTTGTTGGGGATAAGGATCGCGCGGTCGAGCTGATATGGCAGTCCACGGTGCCGTCCACGAATCATCATGGCACAGATGACTATCTTACTGAAGATATCGAACTGAGCGCTGAAGGAGGTGGAGGCGGTCGGGTATCCTAGACTTAGGCCGACGTTTCCGCTGTGCATACGTTAGGTACATCTACGCGCAGTAACCATGGCGTGGCTATACTCACTAGGCTGAGACGACTTCGAAAAATATCGCGAACACGGAGAATGCCTGTTGTCCAGGTCAGAGCGATGCTTCCAACGGTCCAGGAGGGTCACAAACCGGCTTCGTGGGGTCCATTATTTTCCCCGACTCTGCAATGCAGATGCACATGATTCCAAGGAAAATATACCACAAATCGAAGCTGAGTTGGTTTCGCATGTGCATTAAGACGTATCTCTTGCCGTCACCTTCGTCCATATCGGTTTCTGATGAGAATACCCCGATTGATTTTTCTTCATAGATGTTGGAGGCTCGTACACTGATAGCGATAGGGAACACCGAAATGTACATCATGACGAGTAAGCTGAATTGGACTGCCGGGTTCACGTCGGCAAGATTGAACGATGCTGTCCCTGTGTGCCGTGAAGATGCTGACTGAAAGATAGCTGCCGCCACACGAGGTCCCCCAGGTAGATCATTCACCGCTGGGTTGTCGAGATCAAGGACCAGGATTAAAAGGACATCAACAAAATTCAATACGAAGATTATCCCGAATAGGATCCATGTTGGCTTGCTGCGGAAAAGGAGCAAGTAGCATCGACGAGGGTACTTCAACAGGAACTCCAGGGGTTCCTTAAGAGAAGAGCTCTCAGGAATACACTTGGACATGCCCCAGATGAGAAGACGGAGGCAGCAAGGATATAAAGTATTTCCAGCGTAAGCGAGAAAACTCATGATTAGCATAGGGAACACAGCATCATTGAATGATATCATAGAATCCGGAGTAAGTGTAAGTCCCAGGTTGCTAGTCATCGTCTGAGCCGAATAAATCGCCCTATAGTTATTAGGATATACAGATTGCCTGTAAGAGTCATATATGCCAGGACTTACCACCAGACTTCATTTTGACCGCATTCGTCGAGGTAGTCCCTATACTTGCGATTCGAATGCAAGATCCAAGGGACAAGACACACCACACCAATCACATGGAGCCCAACAAAATAAACTTTTGATGATAGATGAGCCTCCTGAACGCAGAAGAGGGAACGAAGCTGTATATACGCACCGATCACAATTTTGAGGAGTAGCTTCAGGCTCCGGTACTCGATGCCACCAAGTCGCTCTCGGTCTGCAGCAGTCAGGTTGTGGAACTGCGAGTTTCTTCCAAGTGTTGCTTGTACGGAGAGTTCCGGCAGGTTTGCGTCTTTGGAGAGAGATATGGCCGGCCGCAGAGATGGCTCTCGGGCTCTGCTAGGTTGTTTCCCGATCACAAACAGAGACGATGCTACCCGCTCGAATGGTAAGCCACCGGTAGCGCTCCTACCATTCTCAGACACGTCATCCGTATTTTCAGAGTTTCTCCGCTCAGTTTCGGCGTCCTCATCTTCCTCTTCGATGACTACCCGGTGTCAGACTGAATGATTGCAACAGAGCTTGTGATTAGGCTTACCGTCCTCACCCGGTCCTCGTTGGATTTCTGCTATCGGCACCCCTATTTCCTATAAGCTATTGCCTGGCCGTCAACGCGCCATGAAATCAAGGTACCTCTGTCACGCTCCCGCGGTGAAGGGATGTAGAGCGCCTTGGTAGTGTCCGCAAAGGAGATACTCCGCGATAAACCAACAGTAGGTGCATCTGAGCTGTCGTTTTCAGGTCGTACTCCTCCACTGCTTCTAGGCCTATATGGCGATTAGATTGCGATTCATAGCGACATCAAGTGTCGAACCACGTTCCCACCTTTCGGGTACCACATGACCGATTTGCGAGCCAACAAAGCGCTGGCCATCGTCGACTTCCTTCTCTGTTGAGTCACCTGGTACGTTTTCTGACGTAGTAGGCTCACCCTGCCCCCGATGATGCGCTTCAGGGTCATAGCGAGCGGAATCATAGTTCGATGGGTTACTCTTTCGATCAAGGACACCAGGTGCTGTTGAAGTTAATCGCATCAGTGAGAGTTCGAACACCGCGCAACTTAGCACTAGCACGTGAAAGGACCTACCAATTTCTTTGAGTCGTTTCTCGAACCATAGCAAGCGGACAACCACCACCAGAATATTGATAAATCCGAGGTTCGAGACAATTGGGACAAAGTAGACGAAGAGTTGCTGATAGAGCTTCAAGTCCTTAACGTCGACTCTAAATATAATATCCACGTCAGACTAGGCTCCTATGAGCCGAAAGTAAGTAGCACGAATGAAGAAACGATCGACTAACGTGTTCAGCCCTGACTCGGTCGAAGAGCTTACACCGAAGAAGTATGCATCGATGGCGCGGAGATTGCCGTAGGGGTAAAGAACGACCAATCCCAGAAGACTCAGGAAAAGGATATATGCATCTGTCCCCAGTAGATGAGCTATTTGTGCCACCATTATTGAAATGATAGTCAACACACAATGTAGAGTGATAAAATTAGCCTGCAGCTTCCACATACTGCGTCGCGGCAGGTATGCTCATAGATCGGGAACGAAACGATTGGGGCGCGGTAAGGGACAAACCAATCACGAATACCAGCATGCAATGACTGAAGAGGCGAAACTAGAAAAGATTAGTTTACCCAAATTCGACAGCAATCTCTGACTCTTTACCGGGACTAGGATCTTGGGAGAGCCCGCTGTGAGATCTTTATTCTGTGCCAATAGAGCCCCGCGCTGGTAGAATGAGCGATTTGTCCGGACCAATACCGTTCCAGAAAATCACGACCCCACGCGATCGGTCACCAGAGCTTAGATGGAGGCTGTATAGATGCACCTTTGCGATCTGGGAGGGAATTTTCCTAGCCAACGGTTCTAGTGCACACTAGAAAAGGTGGCTGACGGCGAGTGAAGATCGCCGCAGCAACCTTCGGCGTGGAAAATGCAGAACACCAGGTTGCTTTTTTGATGTGCGCTGACTGGAGTAGACGACCACTGGAGATGATTTTGAGATCGTCAGAAGGCAAGACAGGCAAACGCCAACCATCCGCAATACTAGTGGAAGGTTTGTTGAGGGAGTGAATCCCTTCAGCCATGTTCCTCCCAATGATGAGAGTTACCCGCTCAGCATGACATCCTCCTTTGTCATATGCCAACCATGGGATGATGTCAAGCGCGTTGTTCAGCCTCCAGTCGTATTGCCTTCTTCATGGTAGGGGAGACAAGATGAGTGGCTTGGACTAACTTTTGAACATTATAATTTGCATGACTCGGGCACGGACTGTCAGGTCTACCACGGATCAAAAAGTTTAAGTGAAGCAATCCAGTAGTTGGGTTGGACCTTCTGTATGTAGGCTTAGATCAACTCTGCATTGCATACGCATACATGGATTTACCCCAAATATCCCATCCATCTTGTTTACAGCTTACAGTTTAGAGCTTCGCTGCGATTACGCTACCGCCGTCCAGAGTGATAGTCGCTCCATTCACATACGAGCCGGCGCGGCTGCTCAAGAACAAGCACGCACCTGCAACATCCTCCGGGGTACCAATCCGACCCAAAGGAATACTTGCCTCGATTGTCTCCCGATGCGCTTCCAAGGTGGCAGCCATCATCTTGCTCTCGAATGGGCCACAGGCCAAGGAGTTTGATCTGCGGGTAGTGCCGGGTCAGCCCAAGCGCCGTCGATAAGCGATCATATGGGAGTTACACGTACGTGATGTTCCGTCTTCCAAGGTGGTGTGCCAAAACACGACTCAAATGGTGCAATCCAGCTTTACTGGCACTGTAGGCAAAGGTTTCCAGAGCTGGAACCCTTATGCCATCAACACTACCGATGTTGATAATGCGAGCCGGGTCACCTGATGAGCCGGCTTTCTCCAGAAGAGGGGTGAGAAGCTTGGTAAGGTCGAACACACGATGAAGGTTGAGGGTGAGAACTCGTGTCCATGCAGACGAAGGGTATTCATCATACGGGGCACCCCAGTTGGAACCCGAGTTGTTGACAAGAACGTGCAGCTCTGGAAATGTGTTAAGCTAGAGTACTTGGCACACCCCTCTCCCCAAGGAGCAGCACTCTAGGGGCTAGACTTACTACTCTCACGCTTAGCAATTTCTTCGGCCAATCTCTTGACTTCCTCTTCTTTATAGAAATCGGCAGGGATAGCATAGGCCTTGCCCGTGCCAAGTGCATTGAGCTCGTTTACAGCTTTATCGCAAGACTTGGCGTCTCGCGACGAGATATAGACAGTGGCGCCATTCTTTACGAAACCTTCTGAGATCATCCGACCGATTCCTTTGGCGCCACCAGTGACCAGCACGACTTTGCCCTAATCGCATGGTTAGATCTTCAGCTTAGCTGTACAGGCCGAGTCCTCTATCCTGCATCTCCGCAGTACGCACCTTGACGTCGAACAACTTTTGAACGTCCATGATGATGGTCTGTGTGGTAAATATCGTACTTGAAAGCCAGAGAAGATCGAAGAAGTCAGTTTCATAAATGGATGACCGATTGCAAGAAACTCAGTCAGCCGCACGTGTGAGGTCTGGACGGAGACGCTGATCTACCCCTTATAGATATTACCTTTACCGCCTGGGGATAATGGGGATACCCGAACAACCGGGGATCACTCTACAGTGTCACAAAAGATACCGAGGCAGGGCGGAACGGAAGAACAATGTTGCAGTGCTTCTGGAGTGATTAGTAGTGGCTTGCATAGCATGTCAGTGGCAATGGCCAGCACGAGTTTGATCAGTACAGAGTACAGTAATCATAAAGCTGGTAGAGACACATGAGGCAGCTCTCATCATTGCCAGTATCTTATCTCCTCTCGATGGTCGTTCAATGTAGCCGAAGAGCGACCAAGGAACTTGATGCCTTAGGCATGAACACCGAAGGGCCGATCGGGTGATCCAGAAAAAGTCACGACAGGCTTTGGCGGGGCTGAGCTTCATCCCACTCGTGCATGTCCAGCATTGAACTTCCTACTCTGTCACGATACCCTTGTTTGTATTTTTGCATAGCTGCCCTTCGCGTTCATTCAACATATTGATTCTCGACATTCTTCTAGAGTCATTCATAGAGTTTCAGTTGGACCAGCACATCCCCCGTTTTCCAGGATGGAGGAGCTACAAGCTAAACACCGCAAGGAACAAAAAGATCTCCAGGCTCGAATCACTCAGAAGAAGAAGTCCGCCACGAAGAAGACCCGCAAAGGAGTTAACGATGATTGCGAGAGGCTTCAAAGAGAGCTCTCTGAGCGGCAACAAGCTGAAATCGCGCAACTAAACGGCGAATCAGACCAGCCTGTGGATGGCATCGAAGACCTCAGTTTGAACGAATCAAGCGAAGGGGACCGAAACGCTGATGAGGCTGGTGACTCGCCCGATCAGCAAAATGCAGATACCCCGTCGGAGACAACGACATCATCGCCTCAAAGCTCTACCCCCGCTACCCCGCAGCCCTCCGGTCCTCGTCCCAAGAAGCCCAATCGTCAGAAGGCCAGATTAGCACGTCGTGCCGCGGAACAAGCAGCGCAATCGGCGATTGCTGCGGAGGAGGCTGCAAACCAGACCGATCATCGTGGAAATGAGAAAGAGGTCATGGAGGGCGTGTTCAAGCGCTTACAGTTGAAGGAGGTTGACATAAACCCGGATGGACACTGTCTGTTCTCTGCCATCGCATGCCAATTGGACGAGCAAGGCATCGGTCTGAAACCTGACCCGAAGAGGATGATCCTTCAGCCTCCAACTCAATCTCGCATTGATACCGTGGCCTCGCCTAAGCATGACGGGTATCGGGCGGTTAGAGCTGTGGCGGCAGATTTCATCAGCGATCACCAGGACGACTTTGCACCATTCATGGAGGAGCCTCTGGACCAATATACCAGGAAAGTCAAACTGACAGCCGAATGGGGCGGACAACTGGAATTGCAAGCGATCTCCAGGGCATATGGCGTCGAGATCAATGTCATCCAAGGCGATGGGAGAATCGAAAAGATTGAACCGGGTGATGTCGAAGAGCCAGGCGACGAAGAGGGAAGCAAGCGGGTCATCTGGTTGGCTTACTACAGACACACATACGGACTCGGGGAGCATTACAACGCACTCTCCAAACATACATAGAGAAGCGTATAAAACAAAAAAAGTCAATCAAAGATTAGGCTATTGACCAATCAAGGCAGTGACTCCCATCCCGGCGATACTTCATCTACCGCGGATATGGCCTTACCGGCGGCGCCAGATCGATACACGGTCTTGAACCTCCCCATTGACATCCTTGCCCACCTCATGTGTTCGGGCAGGCTGCCAATAAGCCACACGTTCCAGTCCTCGCTCACTTGGCTCACGGAGAGGGTCTCCTCTGCATCGACCCTGGGCATCATAAGAGACCTTCTCTCCCGGGTGGCTGAGATGCTCCATGTAAGCCTCCGAGGAAAGACCAAACGGAGGGCCCGGGAGCGATGGGTCCTTGTGCCTTGGGTATTCCAAGCAGATCAAGTTCCCATGTGGCGAAGGGGCTAATAGCTGAGTATGCCGGAGCGCCCAGTCAGGTCGCATGGACGGGCTCAACGCGCAAAAGAACTACACACGAAATCAGTAATCATTCATCTAGAGAACCACCCGTAGACCGTCGCCTCCTCTAGCGACATCATAAAACTCACCGTATAATCATAAATCAAATCAAAAGAATTCAACCCCAGTCCCAACCCCTCCAACCAATCATCCTTGAAGAAGTCTCCCTGCACGAACACCACCTTTCCCCTACCAACCTCCTCATCTCTCACGGGATACTTAGCACTAGTAGTACTCTCCTCCTCCTCCCGCCTACACGCCTCAACCGCCGTAGCACTATACTCCAACCCATACGCATCATACCCGAAACTCGCCAACAGAAGCACATCCACTCCCCTTCCACAGCCCGGGACTAGCGCTTTCTTGCGGTACTTCTTCCCCTGCGCGTCCGTGGCGATGGCATTGCCAATTGTACCTTGACGCTGCGTCAGGGTATCTTCTAAAGCTGGATTCGGGGTGCCCTTGTCCCAGGGAGGAGTGGGGTTTGCGTTCCAGATTTCGGCCCAGCCGTCGACGTATTTCTCGCCGGGGTATTTGGCGAGCGTGTTGTGGACGGATTGTTGGGCTGCTGTCAGGGTGGGGTGGTCGGCCATGGTGGATTGATGATGGATGCTAGGTATGAAAATAGGTACTAGTAGGTACTTTGGATGTACGAGGTCAGTAGGTGGTGAGTTATGTTGTCATTCTAGTTGGGTTTGTATTTCTGGAACTGTCTATGAGGCTGGTTGGCTTTCTGGCTCGGACGTGGGGCAAGTTGAGTGAGCCGGCGGGTCGTGCTGGAGTGTATCCACTGGGCTGGAGGGAGGGTTTTGTCGTCCATAGATAGCTGTTGCTTGGAGATAGACTTGGATGTTGCAGATGTACTGTCAATATGGATAGCTACGTTTATTATACTGTTCAGGCTGCTTGAGTGACATCGTTGCTGCTTGGGGGTTTCCCGAAAGAGGGGGTTTTCCTAGATCTCATAGTAATACCCTTTGACATGCCTAGTTGGTCATTAGGAAAGACGGTCCATAGAGCGATAGTCGGAGCAACGTGAATTTGAAGGAAGCAATCGATATCTGACTGCAAGAGAGGATATTGCGAAAGTATTGCGCTGGAATAGTGTCACGGGTGCTTTACTTCTCCCCGACATGACGATCAATACCATATAGAGGACCCCGAGAGCCCTTATCAAGGAGCAATCTAGCTAGATCACACCATTGATGTCAATTATCGTTTACTTACGGTTATACTCTCGAGCCTCAAAGACTGAGCACCTGTGATATTGTGTGCCATGTGCATTCGGATGTTCATACTGTTTTCCTTCCTGTTCCTCATGCTATGAGTCCCCACTACCGAGCGGGACATTTAACGTCCGGCTATCTAGCGAGGCTTGACCTCGGCAAAGCACCGATTAGTGCCAAATCAGGGACGGAAATGACCGCCATCGGATGGGACGGCACCAGTTGGTTGGTCTCTGACTGGCTGGCCTTGAATTTGGCTTTGCCCCCTAGAGTATGGAGGGAGGGTTAGATGCTGCTTGATTCATGGGCTTAGCACACTGACGGGGTACCTGGTCATTGATTATGGAACAAACTACACAGATTTCAGACAGGATTTTGCAACCAAAAGGGTTTGACTGCGGTATGCATACTGGCGCCTTGCGTATGTAGCGGTGTACTACGTGCTGCTTGCCAGTTTCAGCTAGATGGTGTTATTATCTGGATTGTTGGGATTTTGAATTGCGGCCAGAGATACGATCGTAGAATAGAGAAAATAAAGCTGTAGTGAAAAGATAAGAAACCGGGAAATTTACCCTGCAGCCCGTGCAGGATCTATATCCTTTGTAAGCAGAATCGATCTATCAAGGATTCCTGGATTGTCGAGATCCAATGGCAGGTGCAACCCAGAGCAAGTGGGGAAGGCACATACAGTTTCCTGCCCGATTAGGACGAACCAACCCCGGCTGATACAAACTAAATCATGAGCAAAGACGCACCCCAGTCTTCCTCCTCTTCTTTCTTACTCCAAACTTGATCTTTTCCAACTGTTTTATCTGGCCGACCAGCTCGTCTCCCACTCTCCCTCACCACTATTCACGTCTATACTTACGACTTATTGACAGTCTATGATGTTACTCAGCTTTTATACTTCGTCTTAACAGTTTGTCACTGGCCTTGCCGGCAAGGCAAGTTAGCGCATGCTACTTTCACTTTATCACATGCATGATATTCTAGTCTGTCCCGACCTCTTGGTGTGTCCCTTGTGAAACGAGCCCTATCGTGCTGCTTGGACTGTTAGCCTCTCGTATGGAAAAGCAATACGGAAAGGAAGATGGCGACAGCAACAAATGGTATCCCTGATGCCGACTTGGTGCAGATTTCCCCAGCTGGTCATACTCACCCTGAAGCAATACGATCTAATGATGAGATGATCGACGAGAAGTGCGACCCTGACTCCATATCTCAAGGCTCTGACGACTCTCCCGTGATAGAAGGCAAAGATGAGGAATCACATGTTCGCACTACCTTTTCAGAGGAAGAGAAAGAGGGTCCGATAGTGGTACCTAGATTGAAACGAAGGGGACTTTTCGGTCAGCTCTCGTTGCTGGCTGAAGTTGAGAACCCCAAGGTATATCCGCGGAAGACCAAATGGTTTATCACATTCGTGGTAGCAGTGGCAGGAGCCGCAGCTCCAATGGGTAGCTCAATCTTCTTTCGTAAGTCGTCCATCTCTCCAGTCGTGGCTCCATTTGGTCGTGTCCTTACATGGATGCCAGCCTCCCTTTCCCAAGTATCAATGGAACTGGGAACCTCAACAACCATAACAAATTTATCAATCTCCCTATACATGCTTAGTATGTCGATCTTCCCACTGTGGTGGTCATCTTTTAGCGAAAGATTGGGACGACGAACGATATACCTCGTTTCCTTCAGCCTCTTCGTCGTTTTCAACTCTCTCTGCGCCATCTCTAGTTCAATAGCTATGCTCATTGTACTGCGAATGTTGAGTGGTGGTGCATCTGCATCAGTTCAGGCTGTTGGTGCAGGAACTATTGCGGACCTTTGGGACCCCCAAGAAAGGGGACGTGCTATGAATATCTTCTATCTCGGTCCGCTATGTGGACCTCTGTTAGCCCCAATTGTAGGAGGTGCTTTAGCTGAACGCTGGGGATGGCGAAGTACGCTTTGGTTTCTGGCCGCCTATGGAGGGCTCACCGTGGTTTTCATCTTTTTTGCCCTTCCAGAAACACTGGCAAACACGAAACTCCAGACACAGGAGGCAAATATCGAGCAAGAGGAAACTATTAGGCGTCAAGTGAGTCGAGTATCCTCTCGACAAGTCGTTCAGTTCACCACTAGGTGGTTGAAGGTCCTCAAGATGGTGTTTCTTGACCCTTTGAAGATCATTCTTTACCTGCGCTATCCTCCCGTTCTACTAACTGTATACTACGCAAGTATCACTTTTGGATCTCTTTATGTGCTAAATGTCAGTGTTGAGCATACATTCAGCGCTAGTCCATATAATTTCAGTACAATCATCGTTGGCCTGCTTTATATACCCAACTCGCTCGGATATGTTGTTGCTAGCACCTTCGGAGGCCGTTGGATGGATAGCATCATGCAACGGGAGGCAAAGAAAGCCAAAAGATACGACGAACATGGAAACTTGATCTATCGTCCCGAAGACCGGATGCGTGAGAATGCCTGGCTTGGCGCCATGCTCTACCCTGCTGGACTGATCTGGTATGGATGGTGCGCGGATCGAGGCGTGTTTTGGCTAGCACCGGTATGTTTCTTGGATGTCTGACACGCAGGGTTTCACACATCTGCTGATGCTTATCCCCTCTGCTTCATGCACTTCATGGCATCTTACTGACAAGTTTGTGTAGATGATTGCCAATTTCTTCTTCGGCGTCGGATCAATGCTCATTTTCGGCATGGCAACGACCATGCTGACAGAGTTCATGCCCAAGAAATCCTCTGCAGGTGTCGCACTAAACAATTTCATGCGAAATATCTTCTCCTGCGTGGGCTCAGTTGTCACCGCCCCAATCATCGATGCCATTGGCAATGGATGGCTGTTCACCATTCTCGGACTGGTCGCGTTTGCAAGCAGCTCCGTCCTCTTCGTGATGAAAGTTTACGGGCCTCGATGGAGGAAATCGATGGATGCTCTGAGAACATGACGTCCTTTATGACCAGTCTCGGTCATTGGTACGCTGCGTTGGGTGCCAACCACTGTTACTTGGGTCTAGACCCTATTGGTAAGTGTCGTGTTTTGTCAAGATCATCATAGACGGTTGCATAAAGTATTTCCTTGGCTTTCTGTCTCGGGGTATCTGCCGGGTTCCTTTTCTTTCTCGAACTATCACGCCTGGTGGTACTAGGAGTCAAGTCCGCGTCGTTATGACAGGTGGAAGTGGCCTCAAATTCGCCAGAGAACGGTTACGTCTTGAGGATACCCAAAACTGCATAATTGTTTATTTTTAGACTTGATGAAGCCCAAGTGAGGCCAGATGCCTCCTGCTAGGCTGTGGCGAACGACAGCTATCGCCTGGTTCGAAGGACAATAGAGCGTTGAGGTCCAGATCAATAGAATACCCAAGTCAATAACTAATTGGATGAATTTGGGGTAGTGTCGATTCTGAGCCCGTGCATTGTTTCATAATAGGTCCCAGTGTCAATGTCACTGCCAACAGTGGTTACCCAAGCATGCGCAGACCAAGGCGAGTGTAGTAGATTCTGATAGCTCTCACGCTTCTAGTGATCCTATTCTAGCATCTCACACGGTGATTGGCAGCCAGAACTTTGACAGCACAGGCTGACCAGGTAAGCGCTCAAGCACAAAGTACGCGTATGGTTTAGACGGCAATTTTACCTGACGGGGCCACAGATGGGGGTTTAGCGGATGGAATGGACCAGCAATTCGCACCGCCGGGACGAAGCGGAAACATGCATAAGCGGTACCACCAGATGGATGGATTAAACATCAAGGCTATGGGTCAGGGATGGTGGTGAAATCCAGCGGGGAGGCAGCCATATCCGGCCCGTTGCATGTTCCAGCGTGGGATGACACCGAAAGTATCGACTAGGGTTTCGGTGGTGGCCAGCAAATGGATTGCCGGAGACAGAAAGAAAGCACCCCATGATGGCAAGATTATTAAACTTGCATAGAGAGAGAATGTCATTCTGTCGGACCTGGCATCTGCTATTGTGTGACCATCATCTCTTTGGGCGTCCGTCCGCTACGTGTAGATAGTAGTCTATACTGGGTACCTTACTATACGTTACTTAGGTCAGATCTGCGGGCGATCTCGACCTGAACCTGACAGATTTACGCTGTGCTGGCAATAGAAAGATCTAGTAAATAAATGACACGCACATAACGATCTCGGGTATCTGGCTGAGTATCTGAGATGATGGGTTAAGGCAGTTGCGATGGCAATAGATAGATGAGGGGGTTGTTGACGTGGAGGGTGTTTATGCCAGAGGGAGAAGACATCGGTGCTGGCTGATTGGGATGATTGGAAATTGGGGTTTGTATAGACCCGAGCGGGGGAGCCCATCAAAACACAACACTGTCTGCGCAAGCTGCAATGCTGGGCAGCTTGCCTGATGGGCAGGTAGCCAAGGGAGAAATGGAGGGTCTCGGAGGAATGGGGTTAGTTAGCATCACGATTTAGTGTGCTCCGTAGCTTGCAGCCATGTCCATCCATCTACTCACTAATGACGCCTCCTTCAACGGGCCTGGATGGGGGCGGGCGTGCACTGGTAGCCACTCACCGGCTGCCAGAACAGCAATGCGCCTCACTTATCGGTGGATGCGACGAGTCCGGCTTCTTTTCTTGCCCACCGCCCATGATCTGGACCTTCCTCGGAATTATTGATTCAATCTCTCGATTATTACTCGGAAGTAATCGCGATGCGAATTTGGGATGACAGACCTTCCCATCGTGGATCGGGAAAATGTCATCGGGATTGGAGACACGATGGACAATTCCTTTACTTCCCATCTTCATAGTGCCTGAGAAAAATTGACCTCTTGTTGAATGAGATCATGAATAGTCAAGGCACTTGAAATGAAACAAATTGAAACCCGATCGAAAGAAATTCCCACTATTCCTGGTTGGGCGGTCCAGTGATCTGCGGCTGCTGAATTGTCCGGTGGAGTTTCGAATCCGGCTTCACTTTCCCTCCTCCCCTCCCTCTCTTTCCTTTCCTCACCATTCCGCCAGGCATTTGTTTTTCCATTGACCCTTCTGGCTTGCTTCGTTTTGGCTTCGATGGTTCTTCATCAGTACCAGAAGTACGAATTGACCAGGGTTCTGGAGATCTTCATCGCCCCCCTCTCTCGCGACCAGCTTTCCCTCACCCCCCTTGTCATCTCGGTGATGGGGAGTGATGCTGTTGTCGATGATTGATCGCCTTTACCCACCGAACGGTGCACAGTCACAACAGTAATCCCTACCCATGGCCATAACATTCGCACCCTAGTTACACCCAACCATCCCTAGCTTTTTTTCTTCCCTGGCCAGGGACCCAGTCTCGCTACTCACGGACCATGCGTCTAATTTACTACTATTGCTGCACCAGCCGTTGGGCATGAATGATTATGATACTGGTGCTCCGGCTATGTTGATGAGGTACACTCGACAGGTCGGAGTAACCATGGGCAGCGCCCTTTTCACTTTCGATGGCTTCTTTTTTTTTGTCGCCTTTCATTGCCCCGGATGCCGGCATGATTGGCTGTATTAGAGTGTTCACTCATTGGGCCTAAGATCAATCATTTGACCTTGCATGCTCAAGGCGCAGGTCTCTATCGACCCTCCGATTGCTTTTTCCTCTCCCACTGGATTTACGATCCCGTACAAAGTACTTGCAGGGCATTGGCTAACCACGATACTTTTGAACTATCTATGCAATACTTCTGCCCGCAAGAGGCCAAATAAACAAAAGGAATTGACACCAGATGGTGAAAAAAAAATTTAAATTACGAAAACACTTGTGATGGAGCTGTGGCACCACCCCCACCACACTAATGACACACCCTACGGAGCACCCAATTCCCTGTGGTGTTGCTATCCTATCTGGACCACAATTGCCCATCCACTCCCCGCCGCCACCTGCTTGCTAGTTGCGACTGCATGCTTCTGCTGCAGATGGTGCTCCGCCGGTTATCCCCTTGCCCCAGTGATGCTTCCGGAAGAAGACCCTCTTTCTATGTCCATCCGGGAGGGATGGGGCCCATGAGACGTGGCCCAATGATACGAGTTGCCGTCGGGCAGTTCGTTCATGACGTCCCCAGCCCCAAGCCCGAGCCATTCCTGGACAGTGACCCATTGCACTGGATAGCGAATGCACTACTATACGTCGCCTCGTCTTCGTCCTCGAAAAGGAACCACAATGTTGTTGGCGGACCATCGGGCCTATGCCCTTTTTGCCCTTTGCGTTTCCAACCTCTCATACCCCAGCGTTTGCTTAACCCAGCAATTACACAGCACCCCTCGTTTCGCGTTCCTTTTTCTTGCGTTGCCCCTATTTTTGGGTTTTCTTCATTCGCCTTCCCCCCTGTCTTCTGCGCCTTGTCTAGACATTCGACAGGCATATGTCATATTTCCTTCAATAGATTTATATCCGCTTGTTACTCCCGTTTCACAAAGAGGTCATCAGAGACCCAAGAAACGCCACTGATCCGATGCCATGGGTAAAAAAGGAAACAACAAGAAAAAGAAGAACAACAACAACAATAATAATAAGCAAAGGCTCCCCGTAAACGACAATCAACTGTCCAAAGAGCAAACCCCCTCTCCCGATCCCACCCCAGAGGCACCCGTTGATGTCGGAGAAAATGGAGCAACGCCCGGTCCAGTATGCACAACTTCCCAAGTTTGAGTACCAGACTTTCGAGCGTCACTATCAGACCTTCGACCGTCAAACTTTTAGCTTTTCATATTACCCTGTCAATACTGCATCTACGGATCATCTGACGCCGCCTAAGGATCAGGACAATAACAACAACCCCGTCGAACCAGATAATGCCCCGGCCGCCGAGACTACCCCTACAGAAGGATCCGATAGTGCCCCTGCCGATGGTGGCTCAACATCTCCCGAGTCTGAAGGTATGTTGGACCTGCCTGTGATACTACCTTCTGGCCTGAGACACTTGTTACCATGTTACCTCACGTGACATTTATCATCTTATACTTCCTTGTACTAAGCTTCACCAGGTGCCACCGAAGCAACAACGCCTCCACCAGAGGCTGAAGAGACCTCCCACGATACGACTGCTGAAACAAAAGAGGAAGGCGAGAGTCCCCCTCCTGAAGCAGACGAGTCCACCCCACCGCCGGAAGATAGTCCTCCCAGTGATCAACCTGTTGAGGATGCACCCAAAGACATAGAACCGGAACCAGTCGATGCAGACGCTGCACCGGCGGATGTAGATGATACATCGCCCGAGGAGAACACTGAAGCCCCCAGCAATGGTACGCCTGATGTTGATATCAGTTCCCAAAGTCAGCTGACCTTACACATAGAGGATGACTTCATAGAAGGTGATCCTCCTACAGAACATGATAATGTCGAAGCCGAAAAAGAAGAAACCGAACAACAAGCGGCTGAAGACACCAAGCCCGATGATGAATCGCCGGCGAAACCAACGACGGCCGATTTGATCGACGCTGATAAGGACGGGGAGAACGCAACAGAACAGCCACCGGCAGAGAGTCAAGAGGGCGAGGCTGAGCCCCCTGCTGAGCCCCCTAGCAACGACGAGGGCACCGAAGCCAACAGCGGCGATGCATCGCCCGAAGAACCGGCTGCAGACGCGGAGGCCCAGGAGCATGAGGCTGAAGCACAACCCGAGCCTGCGCCAGAATCCACGGAAACCCCTGTCGCCCCAGAAGGACAGGAGAATCAAACTTCAGAGGAACAACCTAGTCCCGAAACCACAGAAACTGTGGATGGAGCACCAGCAGACGAGGGAACGCCAGAGTCGACAGAAGATTTAGCGGCGGACAATGCCACCGTTGAACCCGAAGCAGAGCCAGCAAATGCAACTGAAGAGGCACCGGAAGAACCGGCCGCTCCCCCCGAAGAGTCACCTGAAGGGTCCGTACAGCCTGAAACAACCGATGAGGCCTCAGCAGAAGTTGAATCCGGCGAAGCGCCAGCCGAGGAGTCTACC